ACTGGAGCTGTTTTCGAGAAAATACTTTTTAATTGACTATATTTCACAAGAAAATATGAGAAAACCTCATATTTTCGAAACATTGAACTACTTCATGTCATTGAAAGATCTGTTTTTGAAGAACAGATTTAGGTAAGAAAAATAAACACTATATTTAATATTGTAAGTGTAGGAAAACGCTGAAAAAATACGTAATTTTGTCAATTTTCGATAATTAAAAGAGTTGAACGGAAGTGAAACCGGCGGCATTGTTTTAACCTTTGTAAAAAAAATTAAACAAAAATTGGAGCAATTTTTTGAGAAAATTTTGAAATTTTGAAAATGACTTTGAGGATTCATATAAAAAGTACCCCCAAATCAAAATACCCGATTCAAATTCGGTCAAATCGATCTGAGTATGTCAGTTTTGAAGAAAATTCTCAGAACTGTTTAAGCGCTAATGTTGACCGCAGACAGATGGGCAGACTTTTTGCCGTAAAACTAATTTTTGGTTACAAGGGTTCATAAAACTTGCATTTTGACTACACAAAGAGATAGAATAAGTTACTTACTACTTATAGAAACAAGATCCGTAATAGAGACTCACAAACCAAGTGTTGCTGTCGAAGATAACGGCTTGTTTGTCGCAACTTATAATACATTCTCTACACTACGTAATTGTATGCGAGAAAGTTAAAATGAAATGTTAGAATTCAAAGGAATGCTGAATAGAAACAGTATATGTTCTCAAACTTTTAATTTGTGATTGCTTTTGCAACATCCTATTAAAAAGTGGCAGACTTTTACAGTTGTTGTCGACAGAAAATACAGATCGTCTTTCAATATCGAGGAGGAATTGAATCGTTTGTGTATCGCGGAGTCGTGAGTTGAAAAGTTGTAAAAATACTTCTGTATCTTTTTAACATTCTCTCTCAAAAGTAAAACAAATTTTCAATTTAATTTCAGATGATTCCAGCGTGGATACCAATGGATTTACTCACACTGTCGCTCGCAACTATTGTTTTAATTTACGTGTATCTAACATGGACACATGACTACTGGAAGAAAAGAAATGTTCCCTTCCACAAGCCTAATATTTTGTTTGGAAGTTACACTGACGTGTTTCTCGCCCGAACGACAGTTGGAGAACTCATGGAAAGTTTGTACAAGTAAGATACAGATTTGGATATAACACCATGTAATTATGCTTATGAATTAAAAGTTAGTGAATTAATGTGCGATCCATTTTCACAGATCATTTGGAGACAAGCCGTTTGTAGGCTTTTGGAGGTTTCGAAAGCCTGGTCTTGTAATTAAAGATCCGGAAGTGGTAAAAACAATCTTGTTCCAAGACTTCAAAAACTTCCACCAAAACGGATTCCGCGTAGATCCCCACCTGGACCCCCTCGTGCACAAGAACCCGTTCATGATCGCTGGAGAGGAGTAAGAGTTTTACTTTAACATTTTGAATCAATAAGTACCCAGAACATTTAATATAACCGTCCCAAATGATGCTAAAAGCACACAAGTTAAGCTTATTTTTCATATAATCTGATTCTGAGCTCATTTGAGCTAGAAAAATAGTCTCATTAATTTACCAGCATTTTCAAAGTTTCTTGAACGAATAACTCCAAGAAATGTCACGTGACCTGTTTATATAGTGCATTAGGAAAGTGCCTGCTGAGAGGGCTAGCAAAAGAAATTATGTTAGTAGCACGAGCTGCGGCTTGAAAATGTGAATTGTGTACTCACCACAATCATATAGACGCTGTAAGTGTGGTCCCCTTCACTTGTTTCCAGTGGTTTGTTTGCCTGGAACATAAATGCAATTTTTAGTAGGAGGCCGTGACTCGGGTCGGTGTAAAGAGACTTTTCTGGCGCATTCACGTTATTTAAAAAAGGGTCTGAGAGTATATTCTAGTCCTTGCTGTTGGAAATATAAACATAAAAAAGAGCTTTTTTTATTTGTGTACGTATGTCTAAAATATACTCGAGTTTTAATGCGCCATATAAATACAATTCTTCTAGTTGCAAAAAAATGTTTGACAAAGTTGGAATTGACAGAATGTATATGTTTCTGTATATTTCAATCACAGAAACCATGGGATATTGGTGATTTCCTGTAAGAATTGAAGCAATTAAGTAACGATGTTCGTAGGAATTAATAGCGATTAAAAAATTAGGAATTCTTATTTCTAATACTTATTGCCAGTGACATACCGAATTTCTCGAAGTTCCCTAGCAAAAGGTTGAAATAGGGTCTCTAACTGCGATATTAATAGTGAAAATAGTATTTTGAAACATAATTTAAATAGGTACGAATTACATTTTACCACTAAACCAGCAAACATATAATTCTACATTTTATGCTGAAAACATTTCCAGCCTTGGGTTCTTTTGGTATACATGAATTTCTAAAATTTACGTTTTAGGACGTGACGTTCGTAATTTACGAGGTGTAGAAATAGCACCGTGAGTCAACAAATTACGAGCCGTAGTCTGACGGTGGGCAATGGAAAAATCGCTCATTTAACAATAAGTACCAAATTCATGATCATACAGAAGACGCGGTTCATACGCTTTGAATAATTTGCCCATTAAAACACTGTTCCGCCAGTACATTTCTTATTGATTTTTAAACATAATTCTCTCACAAGAAATTGCAGTAGTATTCATGGCGTAACGATAGAATTTCCTTATACCAAGAAAGTAATAAGAAATAATATTAATTATATATTCGTTTGACGTGTAGTATGTTCAATAATTTTCTACCTCCAATATCTCTTTGAATGGGATCCCCACATCGGTGGATGCAGCGGGTGGCTTTATTCGGGGTCTCTAACTGTCGGGGCGTCGGTAGGACGCGCCCGTTGCACCAGCCGCATGCACCGCCTCTTCTTCTTAAAATTATCTCCCGAGCTAACGAAACGTAACAGTGCATTCTTAAATTAATTCTCACGCAGTTGCAACGACTCTGACAATTCCATTTCTTATTTTACCACCGACAAATGTCATAACTTAAGAAGGCGTGTTTGTTAGTTTGATTAAATTGAGCGACTGAGCGTGATATTGCTCAATTATTTGTCCAGTCCTTCCATTAAAAGCAATTCAGCCGTTAAATGGCACTCAGAAAGTACTTTTCATCAGATGGACCGATTGACAGAGAGCCATGTTCTGCGATAGGTGGAAGACCACTCGCCAGACGCTGACGCCGTCCTTCACCAACAGCAAGCTGAAGCCCCTGCTGCCGCTCATGGAGGAGGTGGCGGCCGAGTTGGTGCAGTACCTGCGCACCAACTGCCACACCTGCGGACCAGGTACTCCCGCTACCCGTCCTACAACTGCACTCGAGGATCATTACAAAATACGCTTGCAAAATTGAGCTTTTATAAGCCCCCCCTTTTAGTTACTAACTATCCTTAATACATATATACACACCGGCAGGGTGTCTCAGGGCATTGATTGACCAGGAGGCAACGCCTCTGACCATGAGGTCCTAGGTTCCATTCCAGTCCAACGGTGGCAGTACGGTAGACATAAGGTAGACAGCTAGGTCGAGAATTCCGCTGTCTGGGGGAGAATTCTAGCGGCCGGCTGCTCTGATGGGTAGTTTCTCCGATCAACACAAGATGAATGCCGAGACAGTGCCCTAACAGCGCGCGACCTTTCCTTCCTATTCCCTGTCCTATCCTCACCCCTGACTTACACACACTTACACTTGCATGCACTTCACTGATACACATGCCGGGAGATCAGTCGAGACCTTAGAGCGTGCCCCAGCTGGGGAGGTTCCCCGCTGGAGAGAGATACCTGGTTGGGGAAAGTCCCCGCAAGCCAAGGTAGGTCGGCGCCACCTTCCACGATGAAGGCACCTACTAGACTTGTGGGACCAATGGCCTTATCAGTTGACGCGCCGGAATCACTACTCAATCAATCAACACACATTCACCCACAAATGACGTGTCTATTTCAGATGGGTTTGAAGCAAAAGACCTTTCCTCGAAGTACACAATGGAGATGGTAGCCACGTGTGCATTCGGCATCAAAGGAGAATCTTTCAAGAATCCGAATGCAAAACTAAGAGAAATGACAATGCAAGTTGTTCGGCCAGGCTTTATAAAAAATATTGAATTTATGGTAATACAATTTCTACCTTCTCTGGCAGCTCTTCTAAAAATCAGGTAAGGGAAGTTATCAAAAATTTTTCAAACAAAATTGCCAATTTCGTGATAAGTAAATAAATAAAACAATATTGCAAACCTGTTATGCGCTCAGGCAAAACACGTCCTTTTTTATGATTTTGAAAAATTATAATGAAACAGATAGACCATTATTAGTGAGCGTATAACGGATCTAAAACCCCAACTTTTGAAATACTCGTATAAGTTGAGAAGAGGATAAACTTCAAGTCCTTTTTAGGGTTAAAATTGGAGTACACTTATTTTCATTTTTGGAAATATTACTTGATTAGATTTTATTTAAAACTAGCTTTAAGCGAATGCTCAAAGAAAGCATTACCACAGTGATTGAAATTAATCCTATTATTATTAATATTCAAGTACTACTACATGTAGAAACCATTCTAATTTGAATACTAATACTTGAATTGTACTTTATCTTACATAATACTCCAACACACAAAATGCATGCCAATAGCAGTATTAATAATAATAGTGTCAATAATAATAACAATAATAATTACATTAATTAATTATTTTTAATAAAATAGTAATAGACATCATAAATTTAGAGATAAATATTTATATCTATTGTAATTTAGCATATTTTTCAATATAACTATGTTGAAAGAAATATATTTGTAATCCCTTTAGTCCTTTAGCGTGTAGTTTGTTGCAGTCCAATGTAGTACTACGATTCAGAAAGAACACCGTGCCTACATAATTCCTCTGCTTTCTACTTCGTATTATCTAAGGACGGACTACTCTAATTCTGTAAGCCGATTTCTGTGGCGTTCTGTGGCATTGCTCACGGTCAATGTCATTTTCTATTTTCAAAGATTGATGCCAAAGGAAGTGGATGAATTCTTCAGAAGCATAGTTCGAGATGTCCTGGCTGACCGAGAGAAGAAAAATACCACAAGAAACGACTACATTCAAAATCTCATTTACTTAAAGAAGAAGGCCGAGGAAACCGGAGGAAGTAAGTACGGCATAGCATGTGTATTCACAGTCCGACGTCAATCAGGAATATTCACCTTGACAGTTTTTTTATCAGAGCTTGTATCTATGCGACAGCCGATTGCCCATTATGTCCCCATATGCTCGACTATACACTAGACACCACCACACTTTGGGCTCCTCTGATCAGGGCTCAGCAGAACGCGAAGCTCTCCGCAACAGCACATCATGAGAGACAAGGGACAAACAAGCCTGCCGAAGGCGGGACTCGAACCCGCAACCCTTCGGGCCTAAGCGCTGAGTCGGTACACGCGCTTATCCACCTCGGCCATTCAGGTCGGCTGGCAGATTTCACAGTTCGCGAATTTCCCGATCCTTTTCCGTTTCAGACCAACCATTTTATTACATAGGATTCTACTCAAGTAAACGTTTTATTCCTTGCTTGTAATGTCATTCTAGGAATTTCATTAGTGAATAATAGTTCGTCAAAGTACCTCTTAAATGACTGCGGGTGACCATTTTCAGCTTCTCGACACGCTACGTCCTTACGTTGTAAACAAAGAATTCTAAAGCTGCAGCGGAATGTGGCGATTTCTGGTCAGAAAACTCGTATTGTGCGACCCTGATATCGAAAAAGCGAATAAATTTGTTCCCGTACGAGCTAAAACACTTTCTCTAACACACTGTGTGGTCAGAAAGCATGCTTTGTCGATCCTTGAACCGAAAAATTGGTTTACGACAAAACGCCTTTCCGCTTACGTGTATATCTAGACCCTAAACCGTGCAAATAATTTTGTCCAAAACCGATATTCCCCTATCGATCTAGACAGTCAAGTTAGCGGCTGTCTTTCAGGCTAGCTGTTCGATTGTAAGCGGGTGCTTAAAGTTAAACCGTTCCTCAGAATGCCTACGTCGCGTTGCAGGTTATACCGAAGAAGACATCACGGGCCACGCAGTGACGTTCATGACGGACGGGTTCGAAACTTCGTCCATCACCATGGGGTTCACCATGCACCACCTCTCGCAGAACCCGCACATTCAAGAGGCTCTGTGGAAGGAGGTGACGAAGGCCAGGGAAGAGAACCAAGGCCAACTGCCTTTCGAGGTGCTGATGGAGTTACCTCTGCTGGACCAAGTCATTCACGGTAAGGGATACCCCGCCACTCTGAGTATTTCGCGCAAGTGGGCCCCAGGACTTGGAATAAAATGCAATAACACAGGATAGAAAATTCTAAAGAATAATTCGGAAAAGATGGCAATAGATCAGGTGTATCACGATTAGCCGTGCAGGCATAATAAACATATAATCAGTGATTGTGACTCATCCCTAATCATGAACTAGTGTCATGCTTTACAACATAGTTTACGAAATGTGTAGATTGTCATTATACTATTGTATGACTTTCTCGGAAATAGCATAATATCAAATTGATTAGATTTTATATCATCATTAATACTTTTGCTCCACGCGATCTAAATAAGTAAAAGTTGAACCAAGTTTTATTGAAGATAGTTTTTGATTTAATCCAGTAAGCCGGGGCTGAAGTTTAGTGGAAAAGAAAAGGAAAGTTACGTGGCGTTTCAGAGACGCTTCGCCTGCACCCGCCGCTGATGGCCATGGAGAAGGTGTGCACCGCGCCCACCACGCTGCGCGCGTCCGACGGCACGGAGGTGCACGCGCCGCGCGGGCTGCTGTGCGTGGTGCCGCTGCTGGGGCTCCACAAGGACCCGCGCTACTTCCGCGACCCCGAGCGCTTCGACCCGGACCGCTTCTCGCCCGGCCGCAAGAGCGACATCCACAAGTGCACCTACCTGGGCTTCGGCGGCGGCCCGCGCCAGTGCCTGGGTGAGTGCCGCGCGTTGGAGCAGGGGACCTTATTAGCCAGGACGGGCCTTGTCCCGATCCTGTATCATTTGACAGGAACACGAGTCGTTTTTTGTGACTATTACTTGTCAGCATGAAATGCTGTCGACAATATTAAATTTATTACTGTTTGCTTCGCGTTTGTTTATAAAAAAATTAACTCAACGTAACAAAAGTTCTTACAGAGTCCGCTGAGGTTTGTAGCAAGAGAAAATGGAGTATGACGTCATTTCAAGTTGTATATTCTTTATGGCTAACGATACCGTTATGGAGAAATTCAATAATTCTATCCTTTTTGTTCTAAGAGTTTCTGTGCGACTCAGTATGCAATCTTAATTGAGAAATACTGACATACTTCGTAATGAACGAAAGTTAAAATTAAACGAATCCATTTCTTATTTCTAATGTTCCTTTGTAAGGGATTATTTGGTTGGCGTGAATTGAATGTTACCACATGATGAAAATTATACATATTTATAAATGTTCATCATTTACTTGATATTCATTTCCAACCCTAAATATTTGTGATAAAATAGTCCTCTTTTGCACCTTTCAGCGTTGGCACAAAACAAAAATGTCCCGTCTTTATGATTTCCAAAAATGGTCACCTCTAGCACAAGGAAAAATGTTTTTCAATGGAAGTCATTTTCATGAAAAGAGGGACATTTTACATTTTATACTCCACAATGTACAGACAATGTACTCAATAATTCGAAACCATTAATAGTCTGTAGAAAGCATATTAGACTTTGCGTCATTAAAAATGAAAGCTTGCGATTGGATAACTTCGCCCCCGGACTCTACCAAACAAGCATAAATAAGTTCTATGACACAATAAGCCTAAAGACCTAACATGCACAACATTTGAGTAAAAATGTAGGTATTCAAGGCATGAAGTCCCTTTAATTAATTAATTTACTTTAAAATTATGCCAATTTTATTTTCAATTCAACAGGCCAAAAAGGAGGACATTCCATGTATTTGTTTTAAGGAGGGAGGACAGGAGGAGAATGTTAAAAAAGGAGAACCCTGCACCGAAGGGGAAAGGAGCTATACTCCACTTGAAAGTCACGAGCTGGAAGGAGAGGGATCATCCAATCGGGAGCTCCAATAGCAAACTTTTAAGTCCCGATTGGATGACAAGTGTTTTTCCAGCTCGTGACTTTAAATTCATCTAAGTTTAAATCGAAGAATAAACCAAGGCTTGAAATTGAGTAAAAGATTTCGTTCAATGCACATTGGAGAGAACTTTATTTTGCATATTTCAAACAAACTAATTCTGAAAACTAGTAGTGCTAAAACAAGCACATTTTTCTCACCCTTACTAATGGTTGGAAAATACTATTTATGTCGCAATTTCTCTCCGAACTAACATATCTGTCATCATTTTTTGTAAAACTCGTAAAACATTAGGTGCGAAAACTAAATATTTTCAAGCCAATATAAACACGAATTCGACAATTATAACTGCGTTTCATACCGCTAAATCAAGTCCTAACAATGAGGCGGAATTCACAGAACTACAGCTGCCGTCTCGCGAGGCGGAATGCCATTGTTGCATTCCAATCAGATATTTCCTGAAGGTCGCAATTTTAAAATTTTACATAATACAGCAATATTCCCTTCCAGTCAGACTGATCAATAAAGCAAATATGCCAAATATGGCAAATATGCCAAAATTCATCAAATTATATGCGGAAAAATAAATCTGCGAATTTTCTAATGTTAAAATTGGTATATATTTTTAATTTAGAAATATGTTAATTGAAGGCGACGATTCTTTTTAAGGAGGGTCAGGAGTCAGGGAAACAGGGTTTGAAAATTTAATCCTACAGGTTTGTTTAAAAGCGAGGCGTCATTGAGGCGCCAACCCACCCGCTGCCATCCAGGTTGCTTTGACCTGCCCGCACCCTAACCGTACTAACAAATATAGGAGTCCAACAACACATGCGCGTTCCAATAATGCTCTTCCTGTCTCTGCAGGTATGCGGTTTGCCCTGCAGCAGATCAAACTCGGCCTCGCGTCCATAGTGGAGAACTTCGTGATCAAGACGACGCCCAGGACGCCGAAAGTGATCGAGCAAGACCCCACGTACTTCCTGGCGTGCGCGAAGGATGGGTTGTGGGTGCGGTTCGAAGAAAGGAAATCTGCACGCTAAAGAACGATACCAAAACGTTTGTGAAGGAAAAAAGAACATGCTTCGCATGGTGAGAAGAGAGATTGATCATCGAGTGTACTCAGGACAAATAATAATTCACGTTTGTGATTCAAACATAGCAAATTAAAATCGATAATGTTAGATCTGCGAAAATTTTGTGCTGTGCTATTTTATAAAAATACAACAAAACATTTGCAACAAATTTATGCTTCATTACATAGAACAAGTTTGAAAGTTAAATATACGGTTATTCATATTTATATGTTTTCTCTTACAGATGTAACAAAACATTATCCCTTGCATGAGATTCGTCTTTCTTTGTGATTTTAATTATGCAATTGTTCTTAGGCTTCAAGCAATTGTATGTTTTTCGATGTAAAAGTTGTATGATATGACAGCTTGTAACAAAACAAGAGGTAATAAAATAAGTTTTTGTAATACGGAAGCATTTACGATAATATCTCCGTAATCAATTACTTACACTCTATTGGTATTGTGATAAGATAAGCAACGATAAAATTCCAAAAACGACCTTATCCAAGAAATATATTAAAACGATCATATACCTTCCAAGTTCCTACGTTAATATTTAATTAACTGGATAGATCTCAAAGGTCATTTACAATATTTATCGTATGAGCTGAGGCCGTGTTTGCGCTCTCAATAAATAAATAAATGCAGAATTTCGCTGTTATGCTAAATACTAATTAATGAAGTAAACGAATCTAATGTAATCATCCATTCGCCATTCAGACAAACCCACTTTCTTATTAGAATAACCAAACAAAAAACTCAGTTAATTGTAAGGCTTATACAGTGGTTCCGAACCTTTTTTAAGACGCACTAAGAAGAAATTGTGTACAATTTAACATTTGTATGTAGTGTTTCTTTAATTCTTTATTTGTACGTAACGGTCATCTTTAAATCTGTATTTTTACTTAACGGCCATCAAGCATACCATCATTTGCAGTAATAAATTATTATTATTTTATTTCTCTAATTCACGACTAAAGATGTTATGAGTCGGTTAAATATGTCTACTCCGTGATGCAACCAGCTTCTTAAGGAGCAGATCTAGGGGAGTGCCAGTGACTACAATATTCAGCGCAAAACGTGGTCTGTTCCCAATAAAGCAATATCTTGCACTTTCCAGTCTTCTGAATGACCTGGGGGTTTAGCCAAGTTCTTACATAAATTTTGCGGAACAGATTCTAGAGCTCCGATAACTATCGGGATGACTTGCGCTTTTACGCTCCACATTCGTCTGACCTCAATTTCCAAACTCTTGTACTTAAATCGTTTCCCTGCGTCCTTGGTTACATTTTGGTCGCATGGCAAAGCAACATATACAAATAGACACGTTATTTCTACAAATCTCGGATAACAATGTGCGGTTTGTTTGCCGCTATCATGAGATCTTTTTGAATTTACTAGCCGGACAATATTGTACACAGTTCAACAGATGTCACCGGTTTTGGTAAATATTCGTACTTCTTTGAGCGCGTGTTTGGAACTTTGAGGGAGGTACAGATTTGCCAGTGGAGGTAACTACACACCCTATCGTGTCTTTCCATGTTTTCGGTCTTTTTACAATTAAAAAAGCTGACAGGGCATGATTAATGGTTTCTACTAAGTTCCTCACAAATAAAGCATATATCATCTTGGGAAATTTTGAGACCCGCTTTATCATAGTGTTCTGTTATCAACGCTTGATCTTGGGCAGCTATTAAAACTGATTCCCATTCTATGTTTTTCCCCTTTTAAGCCACATCAATGATTGATCTTTAATTATCTGCACCTTATCCATTCTTTTTAGATATTGTCCATGGAGTGGTTTGTCTCTCCAAGATTTCTTAAACATATTTTGTGTCTCATATTTCATAAGTAGCATCAGAAGTTCAGTGTCTGAGTTATTCTGCGTCTCTTACTTAGTCTTGTTCGCAATGCTACACTTACAATGCGTCTATCTTCGGTCAGATTTAATGACCTGCCTCATTAGTAAGTCATCTTGATGTCTGACTATATAATTTCTCATCCCGCTTACTGCATTGTCTCAGAAGGCTTCAATTTGTCTGAAACCTCTCCCTCATTCCTTACGTGACATAAATTCTATGTATATCAGGTCGAGGGTGAGCGACATAATGCATTGTAAATAGTTTTCGGTCCACGATTCGAATATTTTGCTCAATGCAGTCCACTAAACCGTAACTGTATTCGGCTGCAGGCTCCGTCAAACTACCTATTGCAGATATTGTTTTTCAAAGTCCTAATCTCAGGCAGTTAAACATTAGAATTAATGTGCTTCCTGTTTAAAATGTGTATTACAATTGTGCGGTATTCGCTGGTATGTCTGCTGGTTGGTGCAAAAATGCGCGTAACGAAGCCCGTTTCAAGAATCCTCCTTTGTGCGGGCATTCTTTATAAGATAGTCTTCAGAGTCGTTGAAGGTACTGTTGTGTAATAATGTCTATTTTACAAGATCTGGTGCAGTCAAATTAAATAAATACTACTTCTTCTATGTTTATACGTATGATTATGTAAGAAGAAATTCACAACCACATCTCATTCAATTTAATCTACTAAATTATTTTAGGGTTCTGGCTAAGTGTATAATACCATTATATAGTTCACTTTCAATAATTCTTTCTTATGCTAAGCCAGGTAGCAAGTCTGCGTCTAAACAACGCAACTACCTTAACCATGGATAGTACTGTCACCAACATTTATATTCTCCAATCGATCTAGCTAATTGCAGATCCTTGAAACTGCAATACTGATTTTGGGGCGCACTTTACAAGAAACCTCAACAATATTCTCAAAATTGTCTCTCAAATGGCTCCATTTTTTAAAATTAGACTGTTGTTTTCCTATAGAAGCAAAGGCTTTTAAAAATGGCGTAGAAAGTATTTTTATCGAACTCTAAATTTTGGAAAATTGCAAAAGTTCAAGCTTTGTTCGCGTTGTTCGGACAACTACTATATTGAAAATAGATATTTTTACTTAAGAAAATATGCTCTTTAAAGTTGTCCTTTAAGTAACGTCTTGTACAAATTTTCAAAAATCTGATTATTTTTCCGTAATTTTACATGAAACAGAAGGAATATTAGAAACAAGAGTTTCTTAAAAGCTGTTATAAATTTTACTTCGTTTACGTAAGAATAGAAAATATTAGAATCATTCGCCAGAAATCAGCGATTTTTTTACGAGATTTGGTAACGATAAAGTGGATAAATCTTGTTCCTACAGTATATGTAGTAAATTACTGTGTGTAACACGTAGTGTAGTCAGAATCCATGTTTTGTGAGACTTGGATAACGAAAAATCGATTGACAGCAAAACGTCTTTTATCCATCTGTCTGTCCGTCTGTGGTCAACGCTAGTATATAAACCGTTAAGGCCAACGTCCCCAACATTGACATTCCCCGATCGATCTGAACTAGCTCGAGACCGTGATTCGTGGCAATGTTTCAAGCCTGATACTTACTTTGCGCTACCTTACGTACTTACTGTGCCCTAATGTTTAAGAATGCTTCGCTCTATGTATAGTTTACACTTTGTTTCCTGCAATTTGGAATAAATGTTATGTGTTCTGATGGTATCGAAACCAATTCAACTACATGGAAACAAAAACAAATTTACAAGAGACTTGGAAAAGAGTGAAAACATATTTGGAAAGAACGACCATCCTAGGAAAACTTTCAAATTCATGAAAAATTAGGTTTAAAAAATGAATGATAATGGAACAATCGACTGTCTCCAGTTTGCATCGTGACCAGGAGTTAAAACAAAAGCTTACGGAACTACTATCACATTAGGTTTGGTGCTAACCTAGTGGACATTTGTCACATGTCAGGAATGTTTATCAATATACATATGGTATTAAACACTGCCTATGTTAACAAGCTATGGTAAAACACGAGAGCATTTTTATAGGGAACACGACACCCAGTAATGGACGAAGTGCTGTATGTCAATATTTTTGTTTCCATGTCTATAACTGATTATTGAAATACTTTCTGGACCACAATTTTTTTGGGCAGTGATGTCAAGTCCAACTCACAGAGGCAAGTGAATTCATTAAGTGCTTTGAAAAACATAGGTGAGATTGTAATATAAATATTATACTAAGGTTTGTAATGAATGATTCTCGCAGGGGAACCTGTCCTAAAATGATGTTTCCTCAAGAAAAATGATCTACAAACTATAATGTTTATGTTGGAACTTTTTGGTTAAGTGATTACTAGAAAATATGCACAATTAGAAAAGTATAAGTTTAGGAAAGATAATATATTTTATATCTAAAAATATATTTTTTTTGAAAATACTGCATTGTCATTTTATCCTCTATGTTTGGATAAAAGAACAATGATATTTAGAAAATTCACTTCTTACTTTCATATGATTGTGAACCATTCAACCTCACCTAGGTTCGTATCATTTCTACAAAAAGTACAATAGTAGCAGTAATAATAATAATACAATAATAAACGAATGAAAGCAAATTGAAAAAACAAGAAGACCCCAAAGAAAAAGTGAGGATATTGCTTAGCGTTTCCCACCTACGGGGAGAATTCGCCATTAATAATAATAATAATAATAATAATAATAATAATAATAATAATAATAATACAATAGTGAGAAGTAGTCTCAATTAAAATAAAAGTCATTACTAATTTCAATTACTGTAAAAAAGAACTAGTGTCAATAAAGATAAAAAAGGAAATTTTAGAGATCTTAATAACTCGGTGAAGTAAAACGGCATAGTACGAGGTCATTTCACCTTTAATTCACACGTTCAGTGAGCAGCGCACTACTGATAGCACGCACGTGTGCGTGCACGAGCACGTTATGAAATACGCTGACAGCAACAAGAAAGGGAATATGTACTTACCTTATCTATACGAAATCTATTGACACACTCCAAAACGATGTAAATTATCTCCAAATAAGAGTTGTGGCAAACTTTTGACTCTCTATACAGTTGGTTTTCGTGATAACAAGAACATTTTACATGAGAAAACTACATTTCCTGTGAATCATAGTTAAAATCGTTAAACGTATCTCGCTCTTGTAGACATGTACGTTGCTGCTTCTGGCAGTGATCGGGAAAAACATCAAGCATGTACTAACATTTGATGACCGGTTACCTGTTACCAACACC